CTAAACAACAGTACTATATAACAAAAATCTCCACATAGTCTACAAAAAGACAAAGGTATAGTGTATATTTTTGTTCGGAATTGTTTCCTCATGAGGGACATGTCAGCTCAGTCTGGATGGTCCTTGGCACAATGGGTGGGAAAAAAAAAAATTACACAAATATAATTTGTATAGTGCTCATAGTGAGAAAATCTCTGGACAAAGTGGCGATAAAGATTGAAAAAAAAAAGTAAAAGTGATCAGAAAAATACGGATACCTGAAAAATGTACTCAAGAACAGAAACAAAGTATTTGAACTTGGTCACTTGCTAGCGACATGACTGCTCATCGTACCTATGACGAAGGCCTCCTTGGACTGCGCTCCATGCTCGTCGTACCAGGGAGGTCGCCCAGCAGTGTAGATGGTGCGCGTGCCCGTGCGGAGCAAGGGTGGCTCTGTTTTACTTAGCGATGTGGCACTCTTCCTTCGAGGGGCGCTAGCGGGCGGCAAAAGCCGGTCTAACGAGTCCTCGCCACTCCCGCTGGAAAACACAAATGTATGCATGTTCTTTTGTCCGTTTGTATTAAATTACCTGCATCAAGCGCCTTAGGTCACTGCATGTTGAGGGACACAGCCAAACACGACTAAAGTGGACCACCTCCAAAAAAAAAAAAAAAAAATGATGACTGTTCGCCCCACACCAAAGTTGACTACCGCGCTTTTATCACCGCCCTGCAAGAGAAAAACTCTGTACTGTATTGAGTTTTGAGGATCAACATACTCTACAAGATTATTTTTTCTATCGAACCACAAAAACTTGGCATGATTGTCAAGGAAGAAGCAGATGGCCACAAAGAGGAAACTGGTGAGAATAAGGAGAGAGAATTTTGTGGCTGACCCCTCATCAACCCATGATTTTCATACAATTTATTGGTCACGCCGCATGTTAAGTGTTGCTGTTAAAAAAAATTTGCAAACAAACAAACAAATGGAATCCTGCCTGAGCCGCAGAAAACAGTAGCAGAGCCAGTTCTTACCTGGAGTGAGTCCTCAGGGACCAACAGCCTGAGATTCTGGCTCCACTACAATCCTGCAGGCTTCTATTTGCCCCAGTTGATAACTTGTTACTCTCCATCGGGTCTGTCTCCACGGCAACCACTTCAGAACAACAGTACCGAACCCTCTTCAACACAAAACTTGTAAACTAGAAAATCTAGGAAAGTCATAATTGAGTCCGCTTTGATTTGGACTCATCCAGAAGCTAACCCGGCTTACGTGCCTCCGACTTTAGGTCTGTCAGTTCCCATGTGTCCTCGCTACTCTCTGGCATAAGATTTTTTGTGTGTGTGTGTGTGTGTGTGTGTGTGTGTGTGTGTGTGTGTGTGTGTGACACACTTAAGAGGATCAGTGAAAGACTGGCAACAACGAGGTGCTTGGCTGGTATTAATAGAAGCACCTGGAAGTAACAAAAAGGCAGTTGTCTTTTGCTGATCCTTTGTCACAGTTCACTGATCTTGTGAGCCACACAAGCTGGAAAACTTGACGGCCACAACAACGCTGCAAGCCTCAACCCATCCTCAAAAAGCTCTGAAAGGGGTTTGTGGACTCTGAAGATGCCACAAAATGAAGAAAAAGCACTTAAAATAAAGATTGGTAATTCATTCCCATTGGTTTATTTACTGGCGTCTACAAGAACACAAAATAATCAGCAATGCATCATTGCCATAAAGTGAAAATGTACACAATCAGGAACCTATCTTACATAATCAATGACTGTGTGGAGTTCAATAGTGCAATAAACAATTATCAACACCTATTTTAATAAGGGATTACCGTAGTCATTTAAAAATCTTGCTCAACTTAAAATTGTTCACATATTCTGACTTCCAGCCTCTTAATATGAAATATTCTCCAATTTCTGCGTGCATGCATGCTACCATATTTTTTAAGGTAGCGTACGTTTTACCATGCCCGGGTGTATGTGTTAAATACAGAAATAGCACCTGTAAATGACACTATGCCTTTTATGTGGTACTGCCCTCCCAAATACATCAAACTTTAAGAACATAAACAAAAACAAAACAAACAAAAAAAAAACATCTGCCACACGGGTACACACTGAGGCTTACATTTTTGCTTTCTCGCAAAAACGTTACACCAGGATTCGATGTAGTTTTAAAGTTAAAACTTTTTGGCACAATCCAGCCCAAAAGTTGTTTCCCAACCACTAAAAGACATAAGAATTCAACAACAACAACAGAGTCGAAGGAAAAGCATTGATTCATAGTCATGGCAACTTCATTTGGGTTTCCACGGGAATTTAGGATGCACTTTAAACCACCAGGATTATACATTTGGAAACAATGTGATACAGGATTTTGGTGAAGGTGAGTAAAACATTGTATTTGTATAAATTATAAATGGCGACAGACAGCCACTAGTGTGCTCCACAATTCAATAGATTGGCAAAGAAGTGTAGGTTATGTGAAATGTATGCAAGTGTAAAGCTCTTTGAGCAATCACCACGTGATGGAGATTGCCAGATAGATAGACAGATAGATAGATAGATAGATGGATAGATAGATAGATAGATAGATAGATAGATAGATAGATAGATAGAGCACTCAATTATCATTTTATTCAAATTAAATCTTTCATCTGATGGACTATGACATGTTTTGGGGGGAGCTGACTGACTGACAACAGACAGGTGGAGCGGTCTTCTTTACTGACAGAAGCGATGACAAAAGCCCAGGCTGTTCACGGGTGACGAATGATGGACCAGCAAATTTCTGTAAATTGCCCACTTCTGTGCGAAACACGTTTTGTTTATTGAACGGTTTTTTTCCTTCTCCTATACTTAATTGCAGTGTTACTGTTCAAACTATGCATCATGTTACAGTGGCTTACAAAAATGTCAAATATATTTTTTCGGAATAAAACCTCTGCCTCGATTTTGAATTCCATTGTGATGGTACTTGGAAAGCCATACATTTTTCGAGGTGATACCTACTTGGTTTAAATTTGAGAGCCGTGCACTTGGTTATTTCAACTGTTCAGACTCCACCTCTCTCTCCTTCCATCCGTTGGCCTGCATTTGCACTGCTCATTAAGCTCGTTTCGATGCCATCACTTTGTTGACATTACAACATTGCTCGCCATTGAGTTCAAATTCTATTCTCGGAGATCGTCAATATCAAGGCGACCTTTTACCGTTTTTTCCACTTACATATCAGTGACGCATATATATTGCGTCTTCAGCTCACCTACTTTTGGTGGCCGGACATCACACGCGTCAAGCTCCGCAGTTTAATTGCTGGCTAATTGTCATCTTGAAAAAGTACCTATTTCACACATCAGTGGCTTTAATTAGCCCGAGTAAATTTATTCGAGCAGTCTGAGAAGGAGCGTATGGAAATATCTTGATATACTGTGCGACTCGAACACACCAGTCAAGCGTCGAGCGTACAAATAAACAACACGAACAATGACTGATATTTTACGAAAGAGGTATATTTCGCGCCAGGTACCTGTCCGACCGGCAAGACATTATCGTCTCCTGCATTCATCCAAGGTAATCGAAGCCGGCGTCGACCGCTCCAAGCCATTCATGATGATGATGATAACGATGGTGATGGACGGAGACCTCCGTATTTAGGCATTATGGGTAATGAAGTTTGGCGGGACGTGCCTGCTACCACGTAAATTATAACCATTATACACGAGGCAGAAGTAGAAAAACACTCCCGCGCTGTACTCAAGTAGAAATGCATATTTTTGTGTTTAAAAAAAAAAAAAAGTACAAATACTGATTCAACTTAGTTTTACTGTTTTCTGCTTTCTACAGTCTTCGTTTTTAATTTGCTTTATTTAGTGTTGTATTTCTGATATTTTCTCATTGTACAGCACTTTGTATACAGCGATGGTTGTTTTAAAGTGCTCTATAAATACAGATGAGTTGAGTTGAGAACTCCTTTGCTACTGTAGAAATGTACAAACTGAAAAAGTCACAGTGAATTATATTATATAGAGTTGCAGTTTTGATAACTTGTCACACAAGAAAACCAACTAACTAACTAATTATAATAATAATAATAATAATAATGATAATAATAATCATAATAATAATAATAATAATACATTTTATTTGGAAGCGCCTTTCAAAACACTCATGAACACTTTACAATCTAACTAACTCTGCCTACAAAACCGCCTAGTTTAACTCTTTCCTCATACTGAAAAGAAAAAGCTTTGAACACAGCTTTTGTTTGAAGGTACATTCTGCCAGGTTGATCAGGACTGAAATGGCATGTCTCACATGAGCAAACAAAAACAACAATAATTTAACAAAATGCTAAATTAGCCAATGCTCACAACTGGGGGGAAATGCACCTTACCTGTATGCGTTTTTAGATTAGACAGATCATTTTTGAACAGCAGAAGCTGATCCTTTCTAGCCTGGCACAAGACAAGATGCGTTTGCCACCTACCAGTCTTGCTGATGACATTAAAAAATTCTCTTAAATCAGTCCATGGATGGGGAATATCTTGCTTCTCTGAATCTGTGGCGTCATCGTTGTTCATGCCCCCTCGTTCATATTACTGCAAGTTGATGCTGATTGTTTTTTCTTCCACTTTACAAGTTCTCATATTCTATCAAGACAAAGTCCTTTATTAGGTTGTGTCATCTTTTGAGGTTCAAATAAGTAACGGGCCTATTTTCACAAAGTAAGGAGTACCTCGTACAGAATACAATTTTCAAATGTAGGGAGTGAAGTGAAAAGTTGTCATCAGAAAATGAAATACTCAGATCAAGCACAGAATAGGAAAAGTGCAATAACTTTGTTACCGGAACTTCTTCTCCCCCCCGCCCTCACTGCCAATGATCATGATTTGATACACAGCCGCACATTTTTTTGTTGGTGTTTTAATTTTGTTCAGTGTTTTGATACACAAATAAAAATACAAAAATAACAAAGACACATGAGAATAAATCACAACAGAAGAGATAGTTGTCATCTGTCTGTGTACTGTGCACCTGCACTAAATACGTTGCACAGAATGTTCTTTGAAGCAGGACTTGAAATGTCCACATTCCTGGCTGTCCGCTTATGACCTCTTTTCAAAGAAACCTGAGAAAGATGGTGGGAGAGTTCAACATCACTTAATGTCACATAGTTGGCAGCACAAACAGTTGCCTACATCAGATATCGTAGACATTCACAAAGCAAAATGTTATTTCTGAGGCCCTCTATTTCTGTCATTCATATTGATGATTGGTCATTCATTGTTGAATTCGAATGAGCAACACAGTTTGAGCACTGGGTTTGACTGCCATAAAATTCCAAGTGATGAAATGCGTTGCTCATCATCATCTAATTCAGTGGTAACCAACCTCTGGAAGTGTAGAACTGCCAATGTGGAGTAAACATTTTTGATTGGCAAACTCGTTTGAATGTATTTAAATACGTTCTAACGTACTTTCAAATATGTACTTGGAGCCTAAATGCGAAATACATTTTTCCCATAATGCCATATGGTATTGACTTGTGCATACACAAGTGAAAAAAAATGTTTGGGGAGGCCGGGGGTCTTACATGATACCAATATGTTTGAAAGTTAAGTAAGTAAACATTGTTTACTTGTAATTTTTATGGTTTCATATTATGTCTGCAGTGCATGAATTCCACTCATCATTTTTCTCACAATGCCATGGGTCTAAGACAGCAATAAAGTGGGAGAACAGATCAAATCATTTAGATGTACAGTTTGAAACTTACAATGTAATGACAAACAAATAATGGTGGGAATAAACCAAACTACCTGAAAAAAGCTGACAACATCGGTTTAAAACAAACACAAAAAACAAATTAAAAAATGGCCCAAGCATTATTTGTCATAACGGACCTTCACCTCTGCTGAGCAGCTGCAGGTTGCGTCCTTCCTCCTGAACCTGCAGCTGAAGAACTTGCTGGAGAAGCTCCTGCCTTAGCGTCTCTTGCACCAGTCCCATTCTCTTCAGCTTGTCGCCGTTCAGACGCAGCAGCGCCCGGCCTCCGCGTGCCAATGTTTACACATCACTTTGGGTTGCACCAAATGGCATTCAAACGGTGCGGATTGCGTACCTGTGATGGCGTGATGCGAGAAGGCCTCCACGTAGGCTAGGTAGTTGTGAGGACAGTGCTTCTTCAGCCATTTGCAAACATCTTGCTGCGTCCACAGCACCACGGGTCGGACCAAGCTGGGCTGCGTCGGGCTGGTGTTGTAGATGCTGTAATTGTCACTGGAACGATACTGCCCATGGAAGCACCACACAAAACACAGTCAACAGCAAACTCTAGGCCACTGGGACAGATGTGGCTGGTCTCATTATTTGACTTTCGTCCCCATAAAGTGAAAATAAAAAGCCCTTATACATTTGACACACAACAGAGAAGAGAGTTGCTAACAAACCTTCCAAAGTGGAATGATGAAAATCACCAGAATAAAAAATGGCACGTCAAAATGATGACAAATCAAGCCATTCTCTTCACTGAATTTGCTGAAAGCATGTCTCACTCAGGTGTCAGATGACAATCAAATGCCACTACTACGACCTGGAAAAATGGATGCCACTTCACCAACACTCTTTCTTAAGCATACACATCACTATGTTTGAAAAGTATACCTCAAAGCCTAGCTATACTCCATCCCACCGGATCGTCACAAAACAACAACGAGGCGCTGTAAAGCAGCCAAACCTGTGCGACACCCCTGTCCACATGCTGGTTGTCACATCAGAGTTTTGTCCCCATTCACTCTTCTGCCTTCTCTCTGTGACGTGTGTACACTCATGGCAGACAATGAGGCACTCGGTTCAGATGCTAGCTGTCCAGTCTGTGTTTAAAAAAAAGAAAAAAGAAAAAAATTCTCCTTCCCACCTATTTGCTTTTTTTCCGTGGATCTTATCCTCAACTATTGGCTGAAAAAAACTCATCTGTTCCTGTTATTTTTAGCTCTTTTTCAAACACCCCCAACAGGCTGCAAAAGCCCAGGCTAATATAAAAACTTGTAATAGGTGCCAAGGAAGTATATTGCAGTGTTTTTTTGCTCAAACTAAAGGCTATGATGGATGGACAGATTGTTATTTTTACTCTTGATGTTTCACTTTACTAAAAGTACTGGAACATATAATTAAGATATTGATGGTTGATTTGAACCGTCATTATTAAGTCCACCTGTTTTCACAAAACATCAACAGTATATATTGCATGTTGTGCACTGTATCCAAAGTGAACTGAACTGTGAACTTAAAACCAAGGGACACACAGAACCATGGCTTTCATTCATTCATTCTCCGAACCGCTTGATTCTCACTAGGGTTGCGGGGGGTGCTGGAGCCTATCCCAGCTGTCTCCGGGCAGTAGGCGGGTGACACCCCGAACCGGTTGCCAGCCAATCGCAGGGCACACAGAAACGAACAACCATTCGCCCCCACACTCACACCTAGGGACAATTTGGAGTGTTCAATCAGCCTGTCATGCATGTTTTTGGAATGAGGGAGGAAACCGGAGGACCCGGAAAAAACCCACGCAGGCCCAGGGAGAACACGCAAACTCCACACAGGAAGGCCGGAGCTGGAATTGAACCTGGTACCTCTGCACTGTGAAGTCAACGTGCTAACCACTTGACTACCGGGCCACCCCCATGGCTTTCAGTATACCATTATACCCCTAGTGATTATATATTTATGCAGTTTAAACGTTATAAGTGTCCCCCTGAGGGCAACCAAAGCTGCAATAAAAACAAGTTTGGCAGCCCTGCACTATGTGAAGTGTGCATCCAATGGAATTGGAGGGAGCCAATAAATGTGTTATCAGCCAGTTTGCGGCTTCATGAGGCCAGTTTGTATCTGTCAACGGCAACAACGCCACCTCTGATAATGAGATGAGATGGTCCATTTTAACTGGGCACAAGGACTATGTGTGAGGTTTTTCTCCAGTCAGTAATGGCATACAATCATCCAAATATCTTGCCAGTACTGCTATGTGGAGCAAGTCAGAAGGAAGGAAGGCACAGCCTGTGCTACTTTGGGGACGCAGCCCATCAGCCCACGGGGAGAAAATGGCCTCCATTCTGTCTTTACAAAGAGGCTGTGTGTAACGACCCATAGCCAGTGGATGCATTTGGCAACATTTTTTTTTCTTTTGGCTCTTTTACAAAGGAATGCAGTGGAGGGTCGATAATATTTTCGAAAGCTTACACTACCTCTGTACATTTACAGAAATGTACAACAGCTTGTTACATAAGTTAGAGTTTTGTTCTCCTGGTTTGTAACCTGACAGGATATTATTTCAATCTCATTTCGCTCCAAGATGTGAAGCCACACCAGACAGAATTACTAAGTACCGGTATGTACTGTATCATTCCGCCTCGGTCCGTTGCCATCAGCAACAGCCATTCAGTCTAGAGAACATACAATTTCGCTCCAAGATGTGAAGCCACACCAGACAGAATTACTAAGTATGTACTGTATCATTCCGCCTCGGTCCGTTGTCATCAGCAACAGCCATTCAGTCTAGAGAACATACTTATAAGGGGCGAAAGGCCTACTTTACGAGTGATGAAGCCTCTCGAGAATGTTCTTAAGTCCCCCAAAATCAAGGATGGGCAACTTGACTTAACTTTTGGGTATTTTCCAATTTTTCTTGCAATTCTTATCCTCATTTCCCCTTGTCTTCCGTGGAAAACAGAATGAATATTTATCAGTTTATTTTGGTGAATTTAAAGAATCATTGATATAAGAAATCTTTTGACGAAAGTAAATTTTCATCACTGCTGGTAAGAGCAACTAGTTAGCTACGACCCTGGCATAGCTAACAGCAAAAAGTCCCATGCTATGAATACAGTAAAAGTTTGTCAAGTGGTCTGCAGTGTATGTGAAGGTCCTGGCTGTTGAAATAAAGATGAAACAATTTTGAGAGTGAACACTATAAAAAAGGAGCTGAGCTCATTCCCTTATGGTTGTCATCAGTGGATAATAATAACAATAATAATAATAATAATTATTATTATTGTTGTTGTTGTTGACAAAAAAATAACTCTTCCATCCATGTCGATCGATGTCCCACTGCCACAAAATCATGGGTGAACACGCTTTTTGGGCAGTGGGAAAGGAGTGTCGATCCGTGCCGATCCGTGTCCACCAGCACGCCATCGGAGGCGGGTTGTGATCGCCTCGGATCGCCTCCGCTTGCAGTGTGAAAGCCTAACACGGGACTTCTCGGTAATTACATGATGACATAGGGCGGTATGTGATGAGTCATAACATCGCGCGCCATCGGCCTCATCTATAGCAGTCCCCCACAACAAAGCTAGGAGATCGCCCTTGAAGCTGTTGTCTCAGTAGTAGCAAAGAGTTGATCCTCCGCTGCTTTTCATCCATTTTGAGGACGGTAAAAAGCATGATAAAAGAAAGAACACTTGCTTCCATGTTGCTTTGTTTACCACCAAGAAATCTGTCGTACAATCATCTACGCAATCACAGCGTGGTGACGTAACCAGACGCAAAGTGGTGGAAAGGGGGGAGGGAGGCGCAGAACCGCCTTCTGTTGGTCAATGGGAAAGGGACGATATGCCAACTGGTTGCGTGTCACCACGGATCACGACTACCCGCTAATTTCAGTGTGAAAGGTGTATAAAGGAGTTCAGTTAAGAGGGAAAAAAAATCAATTTGTGCTGCAGTCTAGAACTCATTTAAACTCAACATGGATTTAATATTATAAATATGAAACATGTCAGTCAAGGTGCATCATTTAAGATTTATTGAATTTTAAAAAAGAGTAATGAACAGAAAGTGATATCAAGACCACTTTGCGGCAGCTATATAGCATGTTTCCATATCCATGGTACAGTCACTCAATCTACTTTACAAAATTAAAAGTACAATGTTATTTTAAAGCAACCCCCCCCCCCCCACACACACACACACACAAAAGAATTATCCATCCATCCATCCATTTTCCGATCCGCTTTTTCCTCACAAGCGTCGCATGTGGTGCTGGAGCCAATCCCAGCTGTCTTCGGGCAGTAGGCGGGGGACACCCTGAACCGGTTGCCAGCCAATCGCAGGGCACACAGAGACGAACAACCATCCACACTCACACCTCTGGACAATTTAGCGTGTCCAATCAGCCTGCCATGCATGTTTTTGGAATGTGGGAGGAAACCGGAGTACACGGAGAAAACCCACGCAGGCATGGGAAGAACATGCAAACTCTACACAGGAAGGCCAGGGCCGGATTTGTTCACAAGAACTCTGCACTGTGTTGTAGGTAATCTTTATTTCTTGTCAATTTTTCTGTATCTTGTTGTTCATGTCGTTAATTTTCATTTATTCGACTATATTAGTACGTGCAGTTGACCATGGCCGCCATTCATGGTATTACACAGTCACGTCTCTGCTGCATGTGATGTGTTCATTTTTTTTAAGAGTAGATATAACATTTTGGTTGCATCAATCAGAGCCACAAGGAATGCAGAGTGATAATTATCCGAGACTGAATGCGGCTTCACCATTGCTCCCTCCAAACTGTGTTGCAGTGTTGTAATAAAAAGAACATCTGTAATCCACTTGAGTGTCAGTGACGTATTGAAGCGACAGCAAACCGCCGCACTCTGTAGTGGCCCGTCACATGTAGAGTGCTGAAGAAGTGCAGTTCACATGTTTACATACCAGTGTTTCATCATGAAAAGTCGAAGTGATAAAGACACGAATGTGTTTGCATTATTGTCTGAATCTGACTTCTGATTTATTAGCTTCTGTGGACACTACATCTGAAAGTCTTGAATGTTTAGTGCGTCAATAACTCTAACTGAAATAAACCCATAAAACAAAAACATTTATGTCATATAAATCAGATATTTCTTATTGTAATACAGGTTAATTTATGACTTAGTTGTATTTTTCTTTTCATCCGTGTAAAAAGGACCTTGAAAATATAATCGTATATTAAATCGCAATGGCAATATTGAAGGAAAAAAAACCCATTGGATTATTTTTCAAAATGGTTCAAATGTAATTTCTATTCGGTTTAACATGGAAAGTCGATTTGTGATGCGAGTGTACTAAGTAATGAGTACGGTCATGGAACAACACAAAGCGGGACATGAAGATGCCAGTTTACCTGGGAGGCGTCTGCGCCAGGCCGCTGCAGCAACTTAATCGCCCGGCCTCCCGCCGCCTTTTGGCCTCGGCCGTCGTGCCAGGTCAGGTTGCCACCCGTACACGCTCTTAGCCGCTCTTTAAAGTCGTCGGGCAGGTCTCTGTACTCCACGGCTGGCCGGCAGAAACTAAAACTGGACGCCGCTGCAGAGAGAAAATACCATGAAGGACAATAAGTGCGGGACGGCACGCTTTCGGCAAACAGCCCGTCGTTTCGTCGTGATATCATTGAGAGTGACTTGCTTTGACAAAAACAACAGAGCGGCCACGAGGCAGCATTTGTATTCATCAGAGTTGTCAAGAAAGTGGGCTCAGTACTTTTGTAACTTTGCAGAGCGGTGAATAAATGTTGACGTTTCTCAACGGAGGCCATGGTGGCAGACGTCCAAGCCTGCTCAACAGCAGGCGGTTGAGCAACATTGGCTAATTACAGAACGTGTGGAAATACAGTAAACATGCTTTCTTGGCACAGAAAGCAATCCTACATTACTGATTGATGGGGGAGATTTGAAGGAAGCTTACTTACAGCGTTTGGAGCACAGCTTGCAGACATGTTTGTGGATAATATCTTGAACTGACTAAAAAGAATTTGTAAAGAGGACGTGCCTGTCTATCTGGAGGGACTGGTGCCATGTTATAATACAGGGATGTGCAGACTTTTATCTTCGAGGACTGCATCCGGAAAGAAAAAATTGATGCAGCTTATACTTTAATTGAGGAAACACTCCTAATTCAGTCCATCAGCATAAGTGAAGATACAGTACCCTAAGCAATTATATTATGTTGTTGTATCTGCCGTGGTATGCAGTCATCCCTTTAGATTCGAGTGACAGTTTAGGATTTTTTTCCCCTCTTTTTCGGATTTTGAAGTGCAGAAAGCAGAGCAAACAGCCGCCATTAACCACTGTTTTTTTTCTGAAACTTCATGATCTCTATTCATCAAGGCGTTAGAAATAGATATGTTGTCACCATTTTAGTTGTAAAAATTGTTTACGTCTTCGTAAATTGAGATTGATGTGCTGTAAAACCAAAATATTATTATTATTTGTAGTAGTTGGAGGATGTGAGTGTCCTAACAGGCCATGGCAGTTGGCATTTTTAGAATATGCATTCAAAAATACATTGGATAAACTCAAAATTTCAAGGCAACAAGCTTAGATAACATTTGTGCAATTCAACTAAATATTTCAAATTTTGCTGATGTGCAAATTGGCTTTCCCACATTTCACAATAAAGAAATTAGAGTTGCCGAACCTGTGGGGCCCCCAAATTAAATATGGAAGTAAAAGAAACTCAGCAAATTGTTTTGGAGCAAACAACTTGCTCGCTTTGTTGTGCTAACTGCAATTGCTGCCATAAATGTCCATAGTTTGTATTTTAAAGTTGTTCCAACTGTTTTAGTCTAAATACATATGCGTTTGTTTTTTTACAGTGTGCTGTGGACCACTAAAAACAGCCAGTGGGCCACAAAGCCCCCCCCATGGCATAGTTTGGACACCAATGCCATAACATCTGAACTGTTTGTGATTCTGTACTTCAACGTTTCCTTCATGCGGGCATGAAAAAGATGTTCATGGTTCATCTTTGACTTTGTGTCCATTGAAAGATGCACCCAACTTTCAGCAACAGTGGCACGATTGTGTGAATTAAAGCCCTTCTGAATTTCTTTCTCAATGTTTGCAGCATCTTGCCGCTTCAATTTGGGGACGCTGATGCGTCAAATGTCCTTTGGGATGTTACGCCTCCCTCAAGCGACTGTGGTAAACATTCTGCTTCTCCACGCTAATACTGTATAGATCATTTGGAACAGATGTCCAAATGCTCTTGCTTTATTTCAGCTTTAATGGGACTAGAAGCACAAAAACTAACACGCAATGTGTAAAATAAAATGGAGACTAGATGTAAAATAGTGTACATAGCACAAAAGACAGAAAACATGACAATCTACAAAAGTTGAACAGAAGGCAGCTAAACTGGGCTGGTCCTCGGTTGCACAATATACCTCTATCTTCATAATCAGTGAACTCACTGATAAACCCATTAAATGCCAAACTCACTGATAAACCCATTAAATGCCGTACACATATTGTAACGTTTCTGACTAAGAAAAACAACAACAACATACTTGCCGCACCCATTTCCAAGTGGAATGCCATAACTAGAGGGTTTTAAATTAAGAGGGTGAAACCTCAAAGTGTTCTGCTGTGTTGAAGAATTTGAAACCAAACAAATACCCTCGACTTGCAGTAACTTCTCCAAAATTTTTACCATTGTTTCTAACGACAAGGTCAAGGTCGTTCTTCATGTCAATTCCACAATATGTGTGAAAAATGCAGAGGAGTGAACTTTCTCACAACGAGAAGTTCCTTCAAACAAACCATGCTTAAAACTTTCAGTGTGTGGATTAAGAAAGCAAGGTTCGTACCGTCAACAGCCATGGTGTTTCCACGCTGCGTGGATTTAACGGAGATCGCGCATGGTCTCGGGAGGCAGCAGCAGAGACGCCGTCCCGCATCCTCTCAGCTCCTGCACAAGTGAACCAACGAAATCCTCCCAAAGCAGCCCGTGGTGACGCACACTGGCTGGCCTCTGTGACTGGCGCGCTCGCGCGCTTGTGTGTATGCGTGTACTAGTGTGTGTGTGTGTGTGTGTGTGTGTGTGTGTGTAAGTGGCGGCAGGCGGGCGGGAGGCTGTGAGACAAGGGACTAAGACCTCATAAACACAGCACCTCCACCAAGAACATATCAAGGTGTGTGTGTGTGTGTGTCGGCTACAGGCG